TGCGGCCACTGCTTCACAGCCGCATAGAGTGCATCACCCGGACATAATGTGTTGCGCACCTGCCGATGGCCATGCAAAATGTAATCCTCACGCAAATGACCAGCCTCCACCGAGTATTTAATAAAGTCCTGTGCGACTTGTTGCATTGGCGCTGGCGGTTGTTCCTCTACAACAAACCAAAAAAAATAATAATGAACACTCTGTATCTATCGTTGTCATGTCATTGTCATTTATGCATCCACTCCACGCACTCCGCGCCACCATAACTCACCCATGAAATTACCAATTAAGAGCAGACCAATGCTGCGGCTATTGTAGTTTGGTGCGTGCGCACCGACCACCTCGTAACCGCGACCCTCGTACACATTGCCATCGCCGCCAACGGCGAAGCTGTACCCAATGTCCGACCAGCCTTGCTTGTCCATATGGAAGTTCTGCATGGAACGCATCGCTGCTTTGCAGGCGTCTTCCGTCCGGCAAACGCCCGGCTGATAGGAGTGATGTAGGATAACGTATGGCGCGGGTCCGCTGAATTGAACAACCTTGTTGTCACGCGTGTGTCCTAATATTTGGTTGCTTGGTACCTCTGCATCGGTGTTATCCGTGCTCTGCTTCCTGTCGTAGCTGCTAGGTATGGCACCGGCTTCGCTCGTCTCGATCGCTAATTGAATGCAAAGCGAAGGGAGTGAGTGGTGGCGGGGAAAGCATGAAAAAGCAAACATTTGTGGTTAGTGGTTATTTGGAGCAAACAGGCAGACATGCATTTCGGCTCATAACAATACGCTTGCCAGCTTTCGAATGCGGCTTGTACTAATGCCATGCTGCACACACACACACACACATGCTCATAAATATATGTACCCACATATCTATTCACACCCGTTTGATAGAAGAAATTAGAAATTTCGCAATTTGCATTGTTTGCGAACGCAATTTAACTGGTAATTAACTCACAAGTAAACATGGCCAACAGCAAGCCAGCCCACAACAGCAGTCTGTGTATCGAAGTGGTGCGTCCGGCGGGTGCAGTCCCCCTCCTGCTTGTGACAACCATTTTCAACAAAACTAAATAATGAAATAATGAAATTTTCAGCGCTTTTTGGTCGGTTTGTTGTAGCTGCCTGTTTCCGTGTAATGTTTTTCTACTTGCACCGATTCGCGCACCCAATATTGACTGACTATGTTGCTTTTATGTAATTCTATCCTCATACTTGTTGTTGTATTATTGCTTTGCTATTCCGCTGAAAAACCGCCTGTGGTGATGTCCGCTTTTAATTGATAACTGAGCGCAGCTTTCCGATCACCAATTAAAAACTTCAGTATGCCCGATTGTTGTCCGTTGTTGTTGTTGTAGAGGCAATGCATAGGAAATGTTTACATGTACCACATTACTGTTGCTTCTCTCCTTCGCTCCCCTGAAATTTCCCCTTTAGTCCGGTTTTTCTTTTTGCGCGTGGCTTTGTTGTTTGATGGCTGAGACTATTGCCGCTTGATCGCTAAATCGTTTCGAACTTCTTAATCTGTTTTAATCACGCTCGTTCTCCGCTCCGACATGCGTTTGCTGTTTGTATTTCGCTCTTTGCTTCTTAGCAGCGCTGAGTGATTCTCACAAAGGTCAGTCGTGCCAGCATGTAAATGAGTTAACATACATATATTTGTTTTTCTTTTTTATTATTATTATTTTTTTTTTGTTTCTGTTCACCAAATTTTCGGGAATTTTCTTCATTTTTACGTTCTAGTGAATAATATACAACAAAGCTCGCACTTAACTCACTGATATTCATCAGAGGAACTTTGGCCATTGCACCACTCAACGATATGTCTACAGCGGTGAGGGGCACCGCCTTGCCCGCGGGTAAAGCTCCTTTAAGCTCTCCATACATTTTGTATAGTCACGTGCAGAGTAAAAGCTCTCTCTGCCCAGCGCTGGTCTACAGGTTTGATTATAAATTGAGGATAAATATGAGGCGCGGTGCCAATGCTACTAAGAAACTCTTCTGCTGGCTGAAGATATCACATAAAGCCCCATAACAAATAACTCAAAGACCAAGCTCCGTGATAATGAATTCCCAAGCTCGTTTAGGTCAAAGCTAAATAAGTGGGCAATTTTGGGCTAAACTAACTTTTATGTCTGGCCTTTTCAAGAAACACTGGGCTATTATGCATATTTCTGTATCAGTCCAATGATTGCAAGTTTGAAAATTCTATTAGAAGTACAAGCGATTGCCAAACTCGCGGCCCCGCACCACCTCCGCCATTTACTCACTCTGCTACTTTAAGTATAGAAAAAATCCATTTTTATTCTCGGTAAAGGCCCTAAAGTTGCTCTTCGGATGCAGGCCGGTCACAGTCTTTTGGATTGAAGCCGTAAATTTTCTTCTTGTTCCAGGAAGACTTACCGTCCAAGCTCTTCCGTGTCCCACAAGGAAAATTAAAAATTCCATCGTCTCCTGTATTATGTTACCATGCCTGAAAAGAGCTTCGATCCACGCGGATGGCATGGTCAACCTAATCACAGGTAGGTTTGAAGGCACAACCTCTAACCTCTATAATAATTCGCTATACGTAGTCGCAAAATATTTAGGAAAAAATTATTTAACATACTTAGGTAAATGTAAACTCTAAAAAGGCTATTACAGTTATTTTCTACAGAAAGCAGGAAAGAGACTAACTGTAAAAACCGTATCTCCAAGGCGAAAAGGTACACTTCTCTGAACAAGTTAAGTACCTTGGTGTTAGTTATTCCCAGCCAAAGCAGGCCAAGCTCAGATATACCCAAAGACTTGCTTGCCTGGCCATCACTGCTGCAATGATAATAACGCGAACCGCGGCTTGCAAGGCACTTCTAGAGCTGCCTCCTAAGCAATTTGTAGTGTAAGGAT